TTATCTTTCCACCAAAATAATGTTATTGATTTACATATCACTAGGATTGTAATGTTGCAATTGTGCAATCACCAATAAATTGGACATCACCAAATTTTCCATATGGGATTCTGGTTACATTCACGGCTAGGTATGGGTATTAAATTGCAGGGTAGATCTTCTCACACCACATTAGACATGACATGATAAGGGATAACTGTGAAAACTTTGTACAGACATATGTATGTACATATTTACTATCTACTTTCATGCTATTTTATAAATACCTACAACATTTAATACGATAGATATACATAATACTTAACTGTATTGTACGTAATTATTATTGAAATATAACTGGACAAGAATTATTTGTTTTCTAATAGTGCAGTGTACCTTTTGACTATTTTAAAGGTACAAGTTTCTGTACCTATACGTTCTTGTGATTAATCTTTGTATTATTGACAACCAGAGGTGAGCCGTGCGCACGACTTTTTCGTGTTAACACGAACACGCACGACACGATCGTGCATCGTGTCGTGCGTGCGTCGACGCGACTCGTATCGTGTCGTGCCTGTAACCCTCACTCAAACACTTCGTGCGTGCGTGGCAAAACCAATAGTATCCTCGTGTCTTGCGTGCTGGTACTATTAGCACCACACACACGCTGTGAAGCGGGACATTGGTTACTAATGCCAGGGTTGCTAAATCCTTCGTATAATTGCATTTTTACACTCTGGAAATTGAAAATGTCGGTAAAGTGACAATTATTCATGATAGTGTTAAACAATTCTGCTGTTGTATCCGACGCGATAGTGCTCAAATCCGAAATAAACCGAAATTTGCGGGTCGTGCGCATCGTGCGTGTCGTGCGTGTTTTTTCGTTTTAAAAAATTTTCTGCGCGTGTTGGGCATTTTTCTGGCAGACAAAGTCGTGTTTCGTGTCGTGCGTGAATGTTTTTTTAAGGAGCCGTGTTCGTGTTCGTGTTCGTGCAAAACGTGACACGAGCTTCGTGTTCGTGTAGTACGTGTTTCAAAAAACCTTGACACGACTCATCTCTATTGACAACACAACTTGACAAACCAAACATTGGTCGATTTCCTGCTTGTGCAATAAGTGCCCAGCGTTCTGACAGTAATGAACGGGATGTTTCGTAATTACACAAAAAACATTTATTTTATTTCATCTTTAGAAAATCAGAAAATAAATTCATTGTGACACATGTGCAACAATTTTCAACGAGGTCGGAAAATAATACAATTTGGTAGATTTAATATTTAGCTGAAATTCGAATTTGACCATCTCCACAATGCTGTTAAGATTTAATAGGTGGCGATTCAAATACTCGAACTTACTTATTGCGTTGAAAACCGTTAGTGATTGTAAAAAACGATGCACATTTTATCTCCTCTATTTACATTTACGTAACACATTTCAGGAGTAAAATAAAACTGATTTTGCCAGGTTTGAATACAATGAATAAAAATTTTCAGTTAACTGTTTTTGTTTGTAAATTTCATATTTACTTAAATAAATAAACGAGCAGGAGCTTTCATAAAAATGATTACAACAAAGATAACAATTGTTGAATTGACACTCAATAAGTCTGATTTACAAATGTATATATGCGAATAAAGCTAAGCATGTACGGTAAATATTAGCATTTCTTATTCATCATACTGACACTTAAGGTACACAAATACACTATTTTTCATTATAATTATTAAGCTACATATACCTCTTAATTTTTTCTAATAAAGAATCTGTAAAATTTACCTTTCAACTATGCAAAAATTAAGTATTTCAAGAAAAGAAGGCATCATTGTAAAGAAGATTAAAAAAGTTACGGCCTATCTATATATTAAGACACAACAATATTTATATGCAAAGGTATGGCAAGCAGTCTTCCATTTTAAATATTCTTATTGTCGTTATTTATCATAAGTAGGTTTTAATAGATAAACCATTGCACTACTTTGCCGAAAATGAAATTCAAATTTTCTTCTGGAACATAACCAGATAGTCAGCTACAACCCTAATATTGCCCTTGTATTCATTAATTGTCTCTTCGAGCTTCGCTATAAATTCATCCGGATTCTTTACGTCCTTCACTAATTGAATTACGTCCACGACCGTTACAGCCAGACCAATACCAACTGCTGCCCCCCCCTACGACAACCTTTGCTAAGGGGACGATATTTTTCCCCACTTGAATAACACCGAGGGTGACGTCGTCAAGGAATGGCAGCGCAAATCCGGCACCTGAAACAGCAATCCCTCCAACACCCACGACGCCCTGTACCCCATGACAGACAGCTATATAAATAAGAAAAATATTTTATTTACCAAAGCGGTAACATTTTCACACATATAATTTGAAATTACCCTTAAATGTCGCATCCGTATTCAAGCAAGGTCGTCCTCTTAAAGTTTGTGAAATGTTTAATTTTTTCAGATAAAGCATGAAGTTCCAAATGTTTCCATTTTTCCCCATTCTTTAAGCAGTAAATGATATATTTGATTGAATCCTCACGTTTGTTGCTGTATTTTTCTTCTAGATTCTTTACAACTTTTTCAATCTCCAAGAAACTATCTTCACTTCGCTTGGCAGCCTTCTTTATCGCATTTTCCATCACCTTCCATTCCCCAATGAATTTTTTGTTAAGAATCTGTTTCTCGATTTTTGAACTAGCAATCGTTCCCCCTCCAGCGACTCCTACTCCGAAGCCTACCCAACCAAAAACTGGGGCAAGTGGAATAAGTGGGGGGACAAAGAGTGATACTAAGCCAAGGCCAAGTGCCCCAGCACTAGTTATAGACAAACCAATCCCTGCTCCACGCCCTATTTCGGTTCCTGTTTTTGCAGCCTTAGCCTTAACCAATATATTTTCAAGGACGTCAATGGCTTCTTGGTAAAGCTCCGTGATTTGAATGATGTTACGCTCTTCTTCACAACTCATGATGGAGAAGTATGTATTTAAATATGTCGAGAATTAAGTTTTGACAAGTGTTATTGTGAATGTTCCAGACGCAAGTGGGACAGTGGCAGGGTAATATAAACGGTTTTAGAAAGAGGGCGAATGACCAGTTCAAATAACTTTTCCCAAGATAAAGCACAAGTGAATTGATTGTTTGACCAAGATTGTGAGGAGAACGCTATCTTTTTTAGCGTGTCCGGAAAAGTGGAATAAATTTATTTGCGTTAGCCGGTTGAATAAAACGAGTAAATACTTATCCCGATTCGTTTGTCAACATTATGCTTGCTTAACCGAATATATATTTAAACTGTCAGCCCTTCTCTTAGAATAAATATGATAACAATTTCTGATTTAGGTTGTCACATATTTTTATATTACTAATGGAAAAGATTCGGCAAAACTATGAACAAACACTCTTACATTCATTAAGAAGAAAGATTACTAAACGAACGAAAGGGGGAAAAGTATGGAATTGTTGCGTTGTGAGGGATGTAATTTTGTTGAGTGAGCAAAAAACAGTTTAATGTGTAGGAATTTCCGAAAAATGAGATGAGTTTGAGATGAGATGGTCGCTAAATAAAATGAGACCTCGGCCTGAGTCGACTAATAAATAGTTGGGAGATGACACATGTGTTTACCGAGTTACATAAGTTATGAGATCAATTAGTGGCAAGGAATCTCATCTTATACCATCGCAAATGAGAATTTTGAATGTCTCATTTAAGCTGCATCTCATCTGATGTATTTATAAGCGCAAATAAGTTTTTATTTATTTTATTCAACTCTGGTTTAAGATTGGGTCATGCAAACACGAAGGATAAACTTCCTCCATAATCCCTTTCATCCTGTAAATTGTCGTTGGTTGTTGGCTTATTCCAAGTGAAACTATCAAATCGAGACCGGCATGAAATTTCTAGTAATTTCATAAAAAATCATGATGATCGGACACAAAAATTTAAGTTTGACGTGTTTTCCCGTTTTAATTTATTTTGAAAATTTACGGAAATATTCCCATTTGAAAAAATTCAAAACTGACCAAAATTCTTAAATATTATGAAAACTGTAATGGTTGGTTTATTGGTTGTAATTTACAAAGATTTTATCCGCATATTCGTTGCACATAAACTTCCAGAACTTCAAAATTCTGAAAACAAAACAGTTTTAAATGCAATTTTGAAACCCAATTTAAACATCTGCCGCCACCGATCGGGAAAGTTTTGAATATTTTATCGTGTGCCTTTGATAAAATATTATTTAATGCAATAAAAATAAGTTTCCCAATTGCTGGCGGCAGAAAGTTATAAGAGTTTTTCTGACTCAGAGTTTTATACATGTACTTGTATTGCTTTGCTGTGTAAAATAATCTGAACTCTTAGCTGGCTGGGAACTTTTGCAAAAACACTGCGAATGTTCCCAATCTCAGTGGCATATGAACGACACCATACACACATACGCTCTCACTTTCTGACATAGTGTCGAACTTCGACGTGAGTAGGGAGAACATACGGCACTTCTCATGCCGCTCTCCTCCTGACCACCACCACCACTTTGTTAGGGGCGATATGTGTCGTCTCATCTTCCCATGACTTTTTCCGAATTGATACCCACGCATGGAATAAGTCCTCATCACGCAGCCGACAAGTCGAGATGAGACCGCACAAAACCCATCTCATCTATTTACATAGTTACTATGTAAATATGTAAATATTAAGGATGAGCTATCCTAAAAAAATTAAAATCGTTACATACATACAGAACAAACAACCAACGACAATTTACAGGATGAAAGGGATTATGGAGGAAGTTTATCCTTCGTGTTTGCATGACCCAATTTTAAACCAGAGTTGAATAAAATAAATAAAAACTTTTTTGACGAGGTGTTTTGTATTTGCGCTTATACATACATACGCAAATCGACAGCTCACTTATACAAATAATATCAGATAATAAAAGTTTTCACATTTATATACATATAATTGAAGCAGGTCAGGTAGATATTTGCACTTATATTTATCATTTGATTCTGAATTTATTTAACTGTCGCGTCCGCGTCACTCTCTTTTTGCATTTACTGCACAACGGACAATTTTATACATTATTGTGTCCCACTTGAAATTGATACTTATTGAAAACTAATCGCATCAGAGACGATATGGCTGATTCTTTTGAACAAAATCAAACGTAAGTATTTTTAGGCGCCATGTTCAAATCTTCATATCACTGATCAATTCTTGCATGATAGTAAAATATGTAACAGCTCTTTTTATTCCAGGGAAGAAGAGAGGCCAACAATAAAAATTGATGGACGAAAACACCACTATACGAATAGTGAAGAAGAACTACATGCTTCTGTCCAAGCTTTAAACCAATGCAATAAGATATAGCAGAGGATATGGCAAAAATTGACAAGCAATTGAAGAAAATGAACCTGAAAGAATTTCGAGAATTGTACAAGTGTCGCAAGTTTAAGGATGGATTTTCCAAAATCACAAAAACATATGGAAAAAATTGTTTATCACAACTTTCCTTAAAAATACACCAGCTCGAAGACATTTCTACCCAATTAGAGAAACATATGGGGGCAGAATTCCGCGATGCTGTCATAGCAACGGGAAGCAAACTGTTGGAAATATATAAAATTGAGTTTTTGGGTAAATTCTATTTAATTTAGAATTCCTGTCTTACATGTTTTTGTAGTAATTTGTTTTATGTATCTTTTAAGCAACCGTGATTAATATCAACTCAGTTTTTCTTTTCCATCCCGCGCTGGTATCCTTCCCATGCTTTTAGTATGGTAGGGATACGAAGCGGGAATCAAATTTTTGGTAAAGTAATTCTGAGTCAGTAGTATCAAGTTTCTCGAAATTTTCTTTGCTAATAAGCGACAAGTCTTGGATTTCGTTTCTCAAGCGGGGCTGGTAATTCTTCCAAGAATTTTGGCCAGATTCTCGGGTACAATCAACGACTCGGGAGTTCAAATCTGTGCCAATGTGGCCATGGACGTTTTCAAAATTTTAATAACTACGATGAATGTGTCTAAATGAATTTCTTGAATCCAAACATGTAATTACAAGAATTTAAAATTTGGATTAATCATAATCATAAAATTTGACAGTTATAAGAAATAAAGTTGTTACCGTCCATAATTATCCCCAAAAGTTATTATTATTATTGATTAGTTTTATTATTTCATCGGGATGCCGGGCATCCGATGCCCTCATCGAGCTAAAAAAATGAGATATCAAAACCCATATTTTGGCAAAAAGTTGTAAATTCGCCCAGCGCCACACCCATTGGGGTGAGGCATGGGCCACTCGAACCTTGTGGAGGGTGACCTGAGTATCGGTCTATTTTTTCGCCATGCAATTAGAATTTTGCGCTTTGAAACTCAATTGCATTAATTAATTGTATTTTACATGTTTTTAACTTGTGACCCTAATTTCAACGGGGCGTGGTTGTATTCGAAAATTCTGAAAATACATATTTCGTAGAAACCTACGAGCTTTCAAAACTTTGAAAATCGGTCAACAACACACAAATTGGTTACAATGTCGATATCCAATGTATTTGGCATTAGAAGGTCGGCCAATTAACCTACATACCAAAAAACGCAAGAAAAAAGTTCTTATTATACTTAAAATACATACCGTAATAAATAATGAAATTAGAAACCTGTCTCTTATCATACATAAGAGTCTTATGTCTCAACCTGCCTAAAAATTTATATTTACAAGTATCTCATTTTAAATAAATGAGATTCTAACAAGCATAGTACCAATTAAACGACTTCAATTTATTTCCTGAGAACTTAAGTGGACGAAGAAATAATGAGACCGTTTGTGTACCAAGGACAATTTTTCATTTGTTGGCATAGGCTATGCAGCATGGCCCAATTTAAATTTAAAGCTGACGAAATGTCAACTTTAAACCTTAACTGAAGCTTACCTTGTCCCACTTTTAGGTAGGTAGGCATTTATTAAGTTCGATTTATGTGGTCTCGGCCTTTACAATAATACATATTTCATTTTTAAATCTAATTAAAGTAATTTTTGACCCTATTTTAAACGTCGGGTGTCGATTCTGTCCTTGTTTAGTTCGTTTCTTGCCAGCATTGGAAAAGTAGGATTTCAGACATGGATAAAAATTTGGTCCTCAAATTTTATTTTATTTTGGGTTTGTTCAAAATGGCCACAACTTTTCCATCATTGAAAAAGTCCACCCTTAGTTTTTTAGACAATGGCGCCTTCTCTGGTTGTTCTTTACGATTTATTAGAATGCACAATAACAACACTGATGACACTGATACCTACAGTTATCCATGGCTAAATCCAAGTACCATCGAGACACAGGATCAGGGTAGAGACACAACGACCCAGATGAGCTATCTGAACGCCAGGAAATTTGTAATCTGTCACGTCATTTTAATTATTATGCCGACAGCAATTCTACCAAATATAGATCTGCACCCGACTTTTGCCCTATTTTGGAAGTACAAGCCCACATTTGTTATTCTTGTAACTCATAGGACCCCCATGTCTTACATTGACGATTTGAAACTATTTAAAATTAATTTTCCAACCAAGTTTATCCATGCAGATTGGCATAATGAAGAGTGGCGATTGAGCATGCTAAGTATGACTTCTGCACACCACATAGATCTCCCAGCATTAGGATCAACAACGAAAACTGGACTGGAACACGTGTGGTATACTGCGAATAAAAATATGAATCAACGCTACATACAAAGCAGAGGAAACGGATGGACCAAGTTTTTCTCAGGGAGAAATTTACCACAAGATATTGGTAATACGAATCGTAAATTTGATACATTATAAGTGCGTTAATTAATTATGATTTGAACTGCACATAAATATTGATCTGCAGGTTGTGGTAATTATGCGGACGTTACGAAGCCTTGGTACTATCAAAGGTGGAACCATTGCACACTGGTAGAGTTGCAGATAAGATTAAATGCCAGTGTATCAACCCCACCTGCCGAGGGGGTCGAAGCTTACGGCGAGTTCGACAGCGACTTCGTCGGTATCGGCAACTTTGACCTGTTTGAGTGGCCAGCTTACGCCATCCTGTTCAATTCTTATAATTACATCATTGTTGAGGAGATAGATTTGATGCTGATTTTCTCAAAACCGTTTGACGGGATAACATGGACAATTATCTTAGCATCTATTCCCCTACTTGCAGGAACGTTAACAGGTGTGCTAGAACTACTGGTAAAATCGGAGAAGGGTGCCTTAGATCCCCCTGAAACAGCAGATATCTTCAAGACTTGGGTATTCTATTTGTTGGGTACCCTATTAGAGCAGGGCATGACTTTCAGGAAGGTTCTAGGTACGGGTAAAAAAATATTACCCGTCGGTAAATCAGCCTCTGCTATTATGAGTATCACCTGGATACTACTGCTGACTATTGTAATCAACGGCTATAAAGGCGTCCTGATGACCAATCTTACGTCGATGTCCGTCCCTGCCCTTTTTCCTGATCTGGCTTCCTTGGCAATATCTCCGCTGGAAGTTTTTTCAATGTCATATATGGCGAACGGTAATAAATCTGTAAGCGTTTTGATTCTCCAGCTAGAAAAACTTGCCGAAGGTAATAAGGAGTATGAACACCTGGTCGAGAGAATGCATGTGATTCGGCATGACCAAAACCAAAACCCAATAAAATTTGTGCTTGACGCGTCTCAAATCGCGACCAACGAGGGGAAGTTGTCCATTCCGAGAAGTTTTGTCCTGATTGGTGCCACGTGGCAGTTGGATGTTGTATATGGGGGCCTCCTATTTCGGGGGTTCAGTGACCGAATTATCCAAAAAAGTCCATCTTTCGTCGAGTTCAAGAGTCGGAATTGCTTACGAATCAGGAAACAGTTTTCACAGCAAGTGATTTCCCCGATTATTGCGGCATTATATGAGTCAGGTATATTCGAATGGTGGCATGACAATTATGATAAGCATTATTTTCATGACGACTTGAAAAAAGGGATAGGACTATTTAAAGAAGATTTGTCGAGGGATATTCCACTCGCTAGTGTAGACTACATTTTGCATGGACAAGATCCGCGCCGAAGGAAGAACGGGGTCAAACGTTTCTCTCTGATTGATTTGATTACCGTGTTTGCCTTGTTTGGAGTATTGACCATTTCATCTTTGATTATTTTTTTCGGAGAAGTCGTGTTTAAGATCAGAGTTATGGGGAATAAGAAATAAATGTGTATTTGCCGAGTTCAATGATAAAAATTAATGTAATAGGAAAATAATGAAGGAAGTATACATATGCATGAGCAAGTTTGAAAATGTTTAAACCTTTTCTACATTGAGATAGATTATTGTTTTAACGAGAGCACGGTAGGTTTTACATATTTACATACTATGCTGTAGCCTGGCTTTTTAGGAAATACTTATTTATTTTACTTGGTTTAGCAATATCATAAGAAGAAAAACATGAAGGTATTGCGTAAATATATTTTTGTTATCGAGCTGCATTATTTTCCCAGCGAGAAAGTAGAAAATATGAATATAAAACTTAAAAAACTATTTAAAATTTATCACCACCGTGGCGGATAATACGAGCTGAGCCTGAGTAAAATTCAAGACGCCGCCTCCAATATTTGCATGGGCGATAACCTCTGAGCTGATGATGATGATTATGTACTTTAATTAAACGCAATTTTCCTGGTGAATGTAGACTACTGTTCAATCCAAGTTAAATAGCACTATTTAATAAAATATATCAGATAAGTACTTGAACATTATTTGCATTTATGCCAATTTGAATAGTTTATGATCAGTTTACTTTATTTCCTCAGTATAAATAGAACAATGTCTGTGAAATGTCGCAAAATCGCAGAAATACATATTTGTAAATCTTAGTGTATCTAAATTATCTTTAAATTAGTCTAACTCCTATTCATAGCTCAGAGAGCATAGTTTGATTGATAATAAGCGTAATTTATTATGGATGGCCGGAATTTTTCAGACTATTCAGTGTTTTTTCAGTTCATTTTTGTAATATGTAAGCCTAAACCACACTTCTTTCTAAACTAACCAAAAGTAGTACAAAATATTAAGAGTTCCTTATATGCCGTTCTGCATACACCAAAGAAATAACAAATTATTCCAGACTGTCACAATATGGCCGAGAGATGTAGATGTTGTGATTGCTTCTTAATTGTTGAATCGATTCCTCACAAATCTGTGATCAATTCAAAACAAGAAATATTTAGTCAAAAACATCTACAAAATTAAAGATGATATCAATAATTTAACCCAATATACCTTCGAATCATCCACCACTAGTTCATAAAGAGGGTCCAAATCACACAAATAATCAGCCATTGCTTCATCGATCGGAATGAACAGATGGAGTTTCCTTAAACCTTGAAATACATTTCCAAATATTTAGTAATTCCCAATTTTCTAACAATGCGATGGTGTGAAGTGTAACCCTCCGATTTGTTTGAAATTTCGAAATTATGTGGTCCATGTCAATACAACCAACGTTTCTTCAGGCAGTTTGTGCGATGGTGCAAAATATTTGAGGTCAAAGTTGAAAAACGGGCGAATTTTAGCAGGCGGAGGAAGCTAACTCAACTTCCATTCCCTTCCCGTGCTAAAAATTGCACCTTTTTCAACTTTAACCTCAAATATTTTGCCAGATTCTGACCATCGCAGAAACTGCCTGAAGAAACGTTGGTTGTATTGACATGGACCACATAATTTCGAAATTTCAACCAAATCGGAGGGTTACACTTCACACCATCGCATTGTAACTAATTAATTCATAAATTTTCCACAATAAATATGTAAATTTCATACATTGCAGTTTCATCAGGCTGGGTTGCTGGTGCGAATATCCTCTCGATCGGTCGGTCGCACCTCTTAATTGAGCCATCACTTTTTCCACGGAATAGGTCGGGTCGTCCTTGGGCGACGAAATTATCAACGTCTCGATATTCCCTCCCCATCCCGACATGAAGCTAAGATGCCCCGGAGGAGGGTTCACCAGCTCCAATCTCTTCAGCTGACTCGACACCAAATTATCCAAGTACACTTCCGGAATTTCCACCGCCATGATGGACGTCTCATGAAAATGCAGCTTGAGCCTTTCCACCGGATGGAGAACGCTTTTACAGTAAAATTCCTCATTTCCAAAGCGCATATGCAAACTGAGCGAGATCAGCTCGGGGAATTGGCCTTTTTCTATTTTTCTTATAGGAATCCGGTATGAATCCACCTCCAGGAATTTCAACTTGCTCATTCCGGGTAACCCTAATATTCCTGACGTTTCCGGGTAGAATTTTTCCCCCATTTTTAACCGTCTGAAAATCTGCACTCCAACCAAGTTGCCTTCCCCGGAGCGGAGCAATTTCGTAATTTCTTTATACTCCGTGACCCACTTGCTTAAAAGGAAGGTGACACTTTGAATATTTGTGTTAACTTGTGACTCGATTGCTTCCGAAATTGTGCCCAGAAGAACGTTATGGTTCGTGTCGATTTTCAAAATCAGCGAAATTGACGGAACTCCCCCCGCTGCTTCGAGAACTCTGCGCAGTTCTACGGTTTCCACAAGCTTATCTTTCGGTTCGGGTAATTTCACCTTAAGTTTTTCCAGATCCTCCGCATGCTCCAAGATACTTAAGGTGGTATAGTATGCGGGTTTTGAGTTTGAATCGTTTCGTCTCAACTTTCCCTTCTTCCATATATTCAAATGGCGATTTTGGAACCTCATCATCTCCCTGAGTTTTTTGCAATATGAACATTTTAAAATCGATAATTTTTAGGTTTACAAAGTTTGATTTTGATTTTTTTCTTCCATGAGAAAATATTTAAGTTTTACTGATTATTTTTCGTCTATTTCATATTTATTTTCTCATGGAAGAAAAAAAAATCAAAATCACAATAGCCTAACTTTGTAAACCTAAAAATTATCGATTTTTAGGTGCACTAAAATCTTCATATTGCAAAAAAACTCAGGGAGATGATGAGGTTTCAAAATCGACATTTGAACATATGGAAGAAGGGAAAGTTGAGACGAAACAATTCAAACTCAAAACCCGCATACTATACCACCTTAACGTCAAGTCCGAACTGAACGGACAGAAGCCATTCGATGCGAACAAAATTGACAGGATTTTGAGGGAAGGGAGGTCAAAATCGTTTTCGAATTGTAAATTCGTATAATCAAAATCGCTGAAGGATGGGAACATAATTTCCAATTCTTCGATATCCATCAGCTCCTGGATCACGCCGGTCAGTTTCCACACGAGGCGTTGACTTGGATCGAATCCTTCCCCTCCATGTTCTGCGGGAGTCAGGAAAGGCTCAATCTTCAAGTATTTGATGTACTCTTCATACCGCGACGTGAAGGAGATGAGCATATGTCGGGGAATCGGTTTTAGGACGAGTTTGAATCGGGGAAATCATCGCTCCGGTCCATGTCTTCTTTGAAGGAAAAAATCTTCATCTCCGAGTTGATCACGACGGGGTTGTGAATGTTTCGAAATATTTGGGTGGCAGAGCGCGACATCAATTTAGAAACAAGTCGAAGAGCTTTCAAGTCAGGTTCTAGCAAATTCAAGAGAATTAAACTGGGCTTAATTGACTAGTAAAATTTTACGGATTTAAACTCACAATGGAGGTCTCCCAACGTATGCTCACAGATTTGGACGAAATTAGTGTCAATCGATCACAAATATAATTAGTATGAAATTTGCAAATGGAACTTTCTGCCAAATGCGCAGGTTTGGGGGAGATATTTGCATAGAAAGAGGCGAAAACGCACCAAAAGGCTGACATATTTTTCATTTCCAAATTTCCTGCGCATTTTTCCAGCTTTGGATGCAAATATCTCCGCCAAACCTGCGCATTGGCATATAGTTCCATTTGCAAATTTCCTACTAATTATATTTGTGATCGATTGACACTAGTTTGGTCCAAATCTGTGAGCATACGTTGGGAGACCTCCATTGTCAGATAGATTTGTGTAGGTACCTTTCAAGAATTCAAAAATTTTTACAAGGACCTAAAAATTTAAAGTGAAATGGAACAAAGTAATAAATAATTTTCCTCAATATAAAAACAAATTCCTACATACCGGCTCTGAAATATCGTAGATTTTGATTTTCCTCTTCTTTTTTCGACCTGTTGCATTCCTTCCAAGATCAACATTGTTGTTGTCAACGCCAAAAAGATCGTCCACCAAAGCCGCCTCGGTTCCTGGGAGTGAAAAAACGCACGTAAATTCTAATAAAAATACACTTTATATTCAAATTTACTAGTTTTATTCCTTATTTACCATTGTCGCGAATAGAAATATTTCGCAAACGTTGCTTCAACTTTTTCGTGCTCATGATGGAATGAAAATCAGCGACACAATCGAACCGCTAATAAAGAATGTTGGACGAGTTCCTGCAACACGACGAGTCATTGAAAAACAAATTATTACGTCGTAATCAAGCACTAAAATATTTCACATTACTTATCAAAAGTAGATTTATCAATTAAAGTTTATTGAATGCTGAGAAACTGATTACCGCATATATTTCTGAGGGGATGTGTTTTTCGAGCTATACAATTAAGTCGGACGAAGTGGACGACGTTTATGTATTATTCACGCCAGCCAATATTCAATATTATCGACTCTGAATTATTAAGTCCCTTACAAACTAGCTCCTCTAACTTGTACACTACTACATAAATTAAAATTCTAGAAATATGTAAGAATTATTAAAATCCGAAATTAGTAAATGATTTGCTTACCTGTAGTTAACTAATTAACGAAACAAAATAAATATCCTAGCTGGAAAGAGAGCGATTGAAAGGGAGCACGACTAAAAAACTGCCGGGTGTGTGCACGTCTGTGAAGTTGGAAACTTAAATGTTGGTACATCATTAGCCCTCGTTTGTTATGGCACTTGCTGTATAAGACCCTCCCTCAGAAACTTTGACCCCAAAAATCTCATGGTCCCAGCGTTTCCCTTCGGGCAACAAGAGCTGAAAATGTAGCTCTTCCCAAGTAGAAAAATCTGACCTTTGGTTGCCCGAAGGGAAACGCTGGGACCATGAGATTTTTAAAGATTTATGTGTACGTCAAAAAAACCGCCAATTTTCGAATTTTGAAACTCTTGATGCATCAAAATGTTCGTATTCAAGGGGGAAGTCAAATGGCAAATACAAGAATAGGTCTAACTCTTGTCCTACAGGATGTACATTGGCTTTCTAATTTTTTCCAATTTTCTTCCTATATTTTTATAGGGGGCATAATTTAAAAAGTGTTATGTTACATTTATCCTTGTATCCACAATATCGCTTGCAATGTTTTGTATTTAATTCGATGAAATCGACGCGAAAGGGTATGGAACATATCGGTCATTTTACCTCTTGCATGGCGTGACTTGGAAATAACATTGTTATCGAGGCTTGAGTAATTAAAGCACTAACCACATTAAATCAATCGAGATTGATTACTTATGTAAAATTACTTAATCTAGAGTGGAAATGTTTTGCTGGATAAATCATAAAATCAATTAACAAAGGAGTGCATACTTATTCTACATGATGAAATTCTCGTTGGATATTGCGTCAGTTTTTAGATAACAGATAGTTATGTAGGTACATCATTACGTGCATTAAAAATATCGTGTATCGAGATATTGACGTGGTACTTGTTTGATAATCTATTCACTAAACTATCGAGTCCACACGTGTGTGCGCATCGCTGATGAACTCTACCGCAGTTTCACTCTGCCCAGCAGTGGCTAAACTTTATTTTCGGGGCCCCTAGGCAAATTTGCTAAAAATTTGCTAAACTATTTCCGAGTTCATGTGTTTTGCAAAATTTTTCCATTTGAGATAGTTTTTTGCACATTGCAAAATTCGAAACGAAATAGATTTTGGTTAGGGCGGCAAATATCAAACTTTTTAAAATTATCGTTTCAAATTACTTTTTTACAAAAAAATGTCAAACCTGTGCATAATATGTGTTTTATAGCCGTTTAATTTTAAGCTTTAACCATAAACATGTTAAATTTGAAAAATTGGTAGAACTTATATTCACAAAAGTTTAAAATCAATTGAATTCGTTGATCAGGAATTTATTTAATTAATAAAATAACTACTTAATTTTTTGAGGTACAAACACTGGGGGCCCCAGATGTCGCGGGGCCCCTAGTTTTTGCCCACCTTGCCTATATGCTATTTGCGCCACTGCAGTGCCCAGCATGTCATTCGGAGGGTCGGGGCGGCTAACAATGCGATGGTGTGAAGTGTAATCCTCTGATTTGGTTGATAAGGGTGGTCCAGTTGACCCCAAAATTTGTTGGTAAACTCCCCCTGGCGTCATACCTATGGTATGTGTGATGTCGAAAACCGATTTCCATTATCTCGATACTCCCGCTATCGTGTTGACAGACGGACAGACCAACGAAGTCATTGCATTAATGAGCTTGCACAACTTAATAATTCACTGCAATTACACTTACTTAGCAACATAAAAAAATTCCATAGCAACATAAAAAAAATCCTTAGCAACATAAAAACTTGTTAATTCGTAATTACTTGCTTACACAGTATGCTCGTCAATTCAAAACAAACCAGTATCAAACTAATGGCACTATGCGAAGATTTGGGGTATCTGAATCCGACCTCTCTATTTTAATTCTTCACACTTCTACTACCATCCACCAGCCTCCCCATATGACGGGCTCGTGACCTTGTTTTATATATTTCTGCGTACCCAAAGCGATTCAATTAACCTTATCAGGCTGGACAGGCAGGCATTCAGGCAGGTCATGATCAAACAACATTATATAACGTTAATTGACTCTTTCAACAAACTTATCAAATATTCACTCCTATAAAGTCCAACACAATGTCATGTTCATTTCCATTCTTAAACCCACCGTATAATAAAATACTTGCTTTAATAATGGCCTATCAATTATTTTTATTGATCGTCATCTTACCAACTGCTTGTCTCGCATCTTTACCAGATTTTGTCCAAGATGATGGAATCAGTAAGGACTTGACAGTCTGTGGCGGTACGATAGAGTCCGACTCTGGCGTCATCACTTACTCTGGATCCCCCACCTTAAGTCGTGGCGATGAATGCGTTTGGGTTATCCATCTCCAGGCCAGGATGTGGTTCTCCTTTAACTTTTCCAAATTTGACATCAACTCTGGCTTCCTGGACTGTCGAGATGGTGGTGTTAGAATTTACGCGTTGACCAATCTAGTAGGGCCGGATGAGTCGCAGAGATATTCGTGAGTGGGTCAAATTTTTTATCAAGTTTATTTATTCATCACGCCTTATTTAGAGTAACACATTAATGTCGTTGTAGTTTCTGTTTAATGTAAATATTTAATTTTGATTTCGTTAACAATTAATTCTATGTCAACATTTTCGCTTTAATTTATTTTTTCTTAATTTATAGTGCAATTCACATTGTTTGCGAATCTGTTTTGCTTCATTTTGCAAAGTTGACAGGCAATCAACTTTTTGCGAGTGAAAATATAATTATTTTTAAATATTCACTTTTTACTATAAATTGGAATGGTGAAAAGTAGTCAAAAAAGAAAATAATACTCTAAATAAGGCGTCATGCACCATTTGGGGTCAGAAGTTATGTAAAACGTTTTCCCTTTATTACAAAATTGTGCTTTTCAGATTTTGCTATAATGACCCACCTCCTGAAGAATTCTTTCTCGGGCATACCATTGCCGTCGTAATTTTGCACATTGGATCACAAAATTTGTCTCCGGGGTCGGGCTTTGAACTAAATTGGTCTGGCAGATCGATTGATCCATTACGGACCAAACACGCGTCGGCATACTCCACACTTCCAGAGGGAATTGTTAAGTATCCGGTGACCGGAACGTATCCCACCAGCGTGGCCGCGACATGGTTGTTCAAACCGGTGTCAAACGTTGATCTGTCCATTAGTAAGATCGGGTTAGAGGAATGTTCCCTAGATGGGGGTGAAGATCGATGTGCGTGTGATGCATTAATTTTGTATCAAATTGGGACATCTGGACAGTTAAACGAGACCAAGAGAATGTGTGGGGAGGAGGCGAGCGTGGACTTTTCCAATTTAAAGGGAACGTTTTTACTCGCTTTCTTCACCGATTTGGAAGATTTACGGGGTGGGACTGGATTTACGGCGAGGTATTATCCAAATCAAAATATTACACCGGCCACCCAGTCGCCAACTACTACAAGCGAATCAGAAACTACTCGAACAACTAATACAGTGACATCTACAGTCAAACCTGGTATTGTAAAATAATTACTGGGACTCTACTGCAAGTGTGTCTCTTTAGATACAGACTTCGAATTACCCGCATTTTTGTAGGTATTTCTAACATACCTAGATATCTGAATGATGCTTTGCTACCTAGTATGCAATAACTTCAGCCCGCCCTTTTAATAAACAATGCTACCACTGTGGTAACAACATAATTTCCATGGCGGTAGAGTCCAATATAATTTCAGAATTGTTACCTCTAAGACACATGTACAGAACTGTTGCCACATTAATCAATTTGAATCTATGACAGGACACAGATGTGCTTTTAATAAACAATGCTACCACTGTGGTAACAAATAATTTCTATAGCGGTAGAGTTCCATATAATTACAGAATTGTTACCTCTACGGCACGGAACTGTTACCACTATAAAGTTTGGCGTTAATCAATTTGAATCTATGACAGGACACAGATGTGGCGGGATGTTGCAAGGTACCCCGACATGGCAAGCTATTAATTATAAACCACATAATGGTCATGGTCCTCATGAGCGTTGTACGTGGACAATTGATGGCAGAAACCATACAACGTTTTCGTTCAAGCTTTTACAGCCCGTGTTCGATAGGCTGGCCTTTGCTTTTGTGACCAGTTTCACGAATGCGGATGTTCCTTTAATGGCAAATCACAGAATGTAAGAAAGTTCAAGAACTTGATTTGACCCATTATTTTAAATATAATATTACTAGCGTATAAGCCCGTCTCCCACCGGGCGACGGGCTTATTTGATTTTTATGAAAATTAAGTGGGATTGTTCATACTTCAACCGAATTTTTTTTATTGTATCTATATTATTAGCTGAAAAGTCTGTTGGCAAGGGAAGTGAAACTCTCTCCACTTCCGCTTCCGTCACGGAAAATTACTTTCACTTCCGTTGCAGACAAACATTTCCAGCTTATAATATAGATGCTAGTCGTCTAATTTTTTCCATAGAAGCTCGTCAAACACCACCTTTGAAAGCACTGTTCCTGGGTCACTTGCAATTATTACGTTTGCAACGGGAAATGAATCAAATTATGGCGGGCTATATCTTTATTTCCGCTCAGTTGGACCCACGCCAGACAACACAACACGTTCTTCTCGAGATGATAGTGTCCTCGTGGCCGAGCAGGAACTTATCATGCATCCAGTGGAACCCGGGTATTATAAGAACTATGAATTATCAAGTTTTCTCGTGAACAAGCCGAACTATCAGTTTAACGGGGAATCCCTGAGGTACAATTTTCACGAAAAGAAACAAGGATCCATAAATGATAATGATTTCGTCGAAGCGTATCAGTTCCATTACCCAGGCGGATGGACGCACTACAGGCGGTTGGTTTTTTAAAAAATAATAAGCAATACTTGGAATTTAATTGAATTAAGCTTGAGTAAAATAATTACCTTGCAGACTCACCACCAATAACGGAATATTCGAACACGACGATATAGTTTTATTCATATTCGTCTCTAATTATATTAACCCAGGAACCGGGTTTATTATTGATGTTACGCGTCGTATAAATTCCACGACAGGAAGTGTGGAAATAAAGTAATGTCCGGTCCATATAGAAAATTGGTAGTTATTCATTTGAAATAATTGGAAGAGTTTAAATAAAGTATTCCAGTTTGGCAATGTATTCTTCATTTTCATTCGTTTCTTCATGCATTGATTTATAACAAGGCCAACTCCTTGAGGTTTTGCTCCTAGTTTTGGTTAAGGTCGGGGATTACACGAATGCACTAGATTTTATCACTCTATAAATATTATTTGGTGATATTAGGAAAATGTTATTACTCTTTAGGTTAATCGCGAATCGCGATTCGCGATACACATAATCGTTTCTTAATTTCTCAGCTTACAGTTCACTTTTCCATGCTAGCTTCTTACGCAATTTGGTTGTCCAAACGCGAACAAATGTTTTACCAAATATACACACTCCCTACACCAATAGCCACAATCCAACCCACTTGTTTTTAGCAGCCGACACAATCTCAATTATGCAAATAATTACAACGAGGATCATTGTTGTTATTAAAGCTTTGAAGAAACATGTTCAAGAGGCCACAACATGTTCATAGAAAGTAGAGATGACGCCTCTTTCATCCGTGGCCATTCCATCGCTTTTAATTTCATGAAATTAATCAATTCCTGTTCCCATAGATTTGGAAATCCTCCCTGGTCTAGGGCTTTGATACCCAACCCAATCTCATCTCTCAACATGTTGTCCGCCACAGAAAATCTTGGTTTGCTTAAAGCAATATCGTATACCGCCAAGCACTCATACTCACCTTGCAAGACTTTGTTCCGTAAGTGCAGAAGCAAATAAGATATCTGGAGCCTAGTGGCGAGCAAAGCGAAATTTTTTGGACTTTCTTTAAGCAGTTTCATTGTGGCAGACATTCCTATCAATCAATATAATACGTGGAATTAAAGTTGATTTTATAGTCAATTTTACGACGAAAAAAGACTAAACAAATCGTCCCGTTCGTATGTATGGGACCGTGCGTAAAGTTTCGCAGAGATTTGTGGAGGCCTAGCTTGACCCCCGTTGGAAATTTGGCATAACTAAATATGGCTGTAGTTTCGGTACGATCGTTTCGGTACGAACCTAAAAATACGATTAATATTATGAGAACTGTCGCAAATTATGTTTGTAAATGTGGCCCATTAATTTATTGGACGTGCGAGTATGTAACTACTTGTGCATCAAATGATTTTCCGTGGTTGTGAACTTGGTATGTTTTATTTCTCTCGAGAGAGGATGGAACTCTTGTGCGAAAAACTGGTGGACATTTGTGTCCCAACTAATGCAGCTTGAGGCTCAGTATTTGGTGGTCTGACTTCACATACTTTTATTCCCTCCTTCCCTTTTGCTGTCCCAAAGCCCAATAATCTCCACTTCCTTACAATGTCAACCTTTTCGTCTCATTTTCATTCTCTCCCCCACTACATAAAACTTGTGTACATACATACTTGTAACCTAAATCTAAGATTATCTGCATGCACACTTTCTTACGCCTCGGCATGGGTCAAGAGTCATGCCTCATAAAGTTTGCTGCTGGCTGGAACTTTGTTGCTGGCTGGGTGAAACTTGAAACTCTCGACCAGATCTTAGTCACTTGATGACAATGCTGACACTCTCTTTGCTTAAATCTCTTTCTGTACCACCAGCAAGGCAATAGGACGAGTAGCAAATAATAACTACCCGTTTACATCAACTGAATAGGTTACACATCCACACAGAAACAATAAAACTCATAAGTAATGAGAAAATAACTTGTATCTAAAATTAGGATTTTACATGATCGAATTTTCAATTTGTGTTTCTAGTATGGAACTTGATAACAACTAAAATTATGTTACTCATATTTAACTACTTCCAATTCTCATTGGAAACACAAACTGAGAAGCCTTTCAGAAAAATAAAAACCCATGGACACTTAACGCTTCATAAATTTGTCATAATCTTATCTATCATATGTCACGTATTATCTATTATTATCTCTGGTTAGGATTGTACGAGAAAACACAAACTGCTTACACTTATTCAGAAAAAATGAAAAACTCGTGATCTTAGTTAGCTTTCCTAACATACAAATTGCAGATCGTTTGTAATATTTTTCAGCCTGCTCGGAGGACGAGACACATAAAATTAACACGAGTGTTTAGTTACTACCCCTTAATTATTTACAACTACAACGGAAGGAAGAGGAGACCTTTCATCTCTTGACTTGTTGCTTTACTCACGGGCAGCTGCATTCGCCTGTGGTTTTGACACGGATTGGCCTGTTATAAGAAAAAAAAGGAGGCACACAGTTATTGGATAACATTTCAAGTTTCTTTATGTGCAGCTTCCGCGTAATCCTCGCATCTTGCAGGACAGAGTGAACTGATTCCTGGAAACCTTTGTCAGGTAACAATGCCAAAGCTAGAGCCTTCAAACCATATGCTTGGTTATGTCCGTCGCTGTAAAAATCTGTTAAATCTTCATATCGATGCGCTTCTTGGCAAACTAATAAACTCTTGAGGTCTCCATCGACACTCTGTACTACCAATGAATTATTTTTCAAACATTTGCGTATGAGATGCTGAATTAAGCCTAAATCATAACCACCACTTAACATAGCTGGTGTTATTTCGCTCAGAGACTCGTGATATTGGCACACCTGGTCTTCATGCCAATTAATGACTGCATACAAAATGATGACCCCTTTTTCATCGACGAGACCGACTAGTACTCCAGCTTGAAAATGCACGTTTGCATTTGTCATTCGTCGTTCCCATCGAAATCGTATCTCGTGATCCATTCTGTTGACTGCCACGAGGCTGTTCTCTAGTAGGGGGTTGATTTGACGTCTCAGGCTGACTTTCTCCACATCCAGATATATGTAACAGCCGTTGGGGATTCTGTCCTCTCTGAAGATTAAGGAGCATCTTTTCCATGACGTGGTGGATAAGGACTTGGGCATAAAAACTTCTTCACTTTCTTCCTCCTCTTCTTGATGCAGTTCATGCTTTCTTTTCTTGCATAATTTTGAGCGAATCTTTTGGGTTACTTTCAAGTCGAGCGGATTAGTTTTACGACGGTTATCGCAAGACAGAGAGACGGACGTGACGTACATAAGCCCTGACACGGGTTAAAAAGCCAATTGTAGTGTCCAAGCACTTTGCAAAAAAAGATGTAGAGTGCAGAGTTTACTGCGATGACCGTTCGCGGAGTAAAATTTGGTGAAATGGGGAAGGTCTAATTTCACTCCGCACTCCCTAGAATCTGACTCTGCACTTCACAAAATACTACGTTTGTGAAACGCTCCACTCCACATATCCACAATTCTTTGTGGAGTATGGCGTCCGGAGCTCTGGTGAAATGGGGCCCTGGACCTTTAACCCCTCTCGAATCGATTACACACTTTTTGTATAGCCCCTTTGCATATTGCGATTCTCGCATGTATGGACTGTCGGATGAAAAAAAGTGTCAAGCTATTTTGACCAGCACAAAATGAATGCACGCCCGGACACGACAAGCAGTTGGGAATGTTCCCTTTTGGGTGGCAAACTTATTTTGCAACTTCCTATGAATTTTTTGCTCTCAGTTTGCAACAAAAAAAGATACTCAAATTCTATTTTCAGTTATTAAATTTTCCTATTTCTATGCTTATTGATAAATAAAAAAATTAATGTTTGACTGGGTAAACAAACATGGGGAAACTTAACACTCTCTTTCACCGGACATTTCATAAATAAATACATTTAATACGTACTAAATTTATGGGAGAACAGGCACAAACTCTGGATTTACCTCAATGTAACCAGACATACTTCTAAAAGAAAACCTCCCTTGAGGGTGATACGACAAATATGTAAAAGACATTTATGTAACGACATTTATGTAAATGACATCTATGCAACCCGACAATTATGTAACCCGACGAATATGTAAGCGACCGATATGCAAACGACAAATATGCAATAAATAGGATTTCGTCTATATATTTCGGATTAGTCAATCGTATTTTCGAAACAATTCGATTTTAACCATAAAACCGAATTTCAACTAACTCACTTAACTTTAATAATCAAAACATAATTTTCAAAATTAAACTCATCCTTGTTCTTTCTAAGTACTGAGTAATTAATTACCAAATTTTCAGCTATTTCAAAAACTTGGCACATTGTACCACAGTCCTACCCAATACCCCCCTAAATGTCCCCTCGGAGTCAACCGGTTAACCGATATTGATGAAGTAAATTTAACCTAACTCATAATTTGTTATTTTATTATTAATTTTTAAATTCAATTTTAATTTTTAATTCGTTTTTTGTAATTTGTCGTTTTGAAAATTCGCGAAATCCTATTTGTTGCATATTTGTCGTTTGCATATTGATCGTTTACATATGTGTCGGGTTACAAATTTGTCGGGTGGCATAAATGTCTTTTACATATTTGTCTTTACATATTTGTCGGTTACATATTTGTCTTTACATATTTGTCACCCCGTCTCCCTTGAGTACCATATTGATTCCGTAAACACATCAGCTCGGAAGTAATTGCTCCTCCCAATAAAAGACCAGTAATCATTTCGACCAGTTGTCAAGCTTGCAGTTTTTTTTCGAAGAATACAAAAAAATCCTGGTCCGAGAGTCAATCAAATTTTGATATAACCTGTGCAATATGAAATTTGACTTATTTGGTCTCTTTGAGACGTGTTATGAAATACGTCATAAATTTGACGAATTTCGTCATAATGAGGTTAAATATGTACTTGCATACATATCTACACAAGTAATTATTCATACCTATTTATATGTAGCGACTTTGATATGAACCAAGTAAATGCAAACCTTGTAAAGAAGTAATTCATGCTGATTGACAAGGATTCAGTAAAACTTGGATATTAAATTGGACATCTACATTCGCACATATCGCATGTTTAAGTATACTGAATCTCCTACCGGAAAGTGCAAAATTCAGCTGTCAAGGTCAAGGCCTCCGGTTAGGACGGACTTACAGTTATGAGGATTTTTTCCATAAAACTAGGATATGCCGAAATGTTGAAACGTATTAATTGCAAGTCTTTTAACAGTTTCTTTAACCTATGTACATACACAAGAACAATGCGCAAATCGTGTTCAATTACTTAAT